GTAAGAATGATCTGCACCAGATAATCACAGGCAAACAGAAAACGGTATTTAAATATGGAAATAAACCATTTAGAAATGATTAAAACTATTTTCCAGTTAATTTCAATCAGGATCAGGCGTCAGGTTTCTGTCCCTTCTCACTCTATATGTGCAGTTATATGAACAGAGGAAAGATTTTAGATCAGCATTCTCAGTGTGATGTATATGATTTTAAACATGGCAAAAAGCAGTGGACATAAAATGACCAGTAGTTCATCAAAGAAATGAAAACTGGGTAAACTGATGAACTGATCAACAGCAGTCAAGCTGATTTGGTGTGCTATAAATGCACTGGGTGGCATTGTGATTACTGAAGTATGTTCATATATAAGGGGTGGGCATGTGGTTTTACCTCCTTGAACATTAGGCTTTATTATTCAGTTATTACTCTAATGACTTAATATTTGGTATGCACTATGAATTATTCAGTAAATACTATAAATTGTCCAGTAACTACTATGAATTATTCAGTAACTACTATGAATTATCCAGTAACTACTATGAATTATTCAGTAACTACTATGAATTATCCAGTAACTACTATGAATTATTCAGTAACTACTATGAATTATCCAGTAACTACTATGAATTATTCAGTAACTACCATGAATTGTCCAGTAACTACTATGAATTGTCAAGTGACTACTATGAATCATTCAGTAACTACTATGAATTATTTAGTAACTATTATGATTTATCCAGTAACTACTTTGAACTGTCCAGTGACTACTATGAATTATTCAGTAACTACTATGAATTATCCAATAATTACTATTAATTATTCAATACCTACTACGAATTATTCAGTAACTACTATGAATTATTCAGTACCTACTATGAATTATCCAGCAACTACTATAAAGTATTCAGTAACTACCATGAATTATACAGTAATTGTTATGCGTAATTGTTATGCGTAATTGTTATGCGCTGTAAATGCACTGTATGTCATTGTGATTACTGAAGTACGTTCATACGTGAGGCATGGGCATGTGGTTTTACCTCCTTGAATCTTAGGCTTGATATTCAGGTATTATTTTATTGACTTAATATTTGGTATGTACTATGAATTATTCAGTAACTACTATGAATTGTTCAGTAATGGTTATGCAGTATTAAGTAACTATTGTGAAGTATTCAAGAAGTACTATGAACTATTCACTAACTATTATGATTTATACAGTAACTGCTATGAATTATTCAGTAACTACTATGAATTATTCAGTAACTACTATGAATTATACAGTAATTGTTATGCGTAATTGTTATGTGCTGTAAATGCACTGTATGTCATTGTGATTACTGAAGTACGTTCATACGTGAGGAATGGGCATGTGGTTTTACCTCCTTGAACCTTAGGCTTAATATTCAGTTATTATTTTAATGACTTACTATTTGGTATGTACTATGAATTATTCCGTAACTGCTGTTAAATATTCACTAACTATTATAATTTATACAATAACTATTATGAATCATTCAGCAACTGCTATAAATTATTTAGTAACTGCTATGAGTTATTCAGTAACTGGTATGACTGATCCAGTAACTTCTATGAAATATTTAATAACTGCTATGAATTGAAGTTATGTTTAACTATTAGCGATGTAGCCTCACAGGAAGAAGGGCCTGGGTTCGATTCCCTGGTCGGGTAACCAGGGTCCTTTCTGTGTGGAGTTTGCATGTTCTTCACGTGTCTGTGTGGGTTTCCTCGGGCGCTCCGGTTTCCTCCCACAGTCCAAAGGCTTGCTGTCTGACGAACTGGAGATGCTAAATGCCCCTGGGTGTGAGTGTGTGTGAATGTATATGTCTGTTTGTCTGCCCTGTGATGGACCAGCGACCTGTCCTGGCTGTTTCCTGCCTTCTGCCCAATGACTGCTGGGATAGGCTCCAGCACATCATGTAACCCAGGAGGATAAGTGGCTTAGATAATATGTGTGTGATGCGTATCTTTAATTATTCAGTAGCTCTGTGTTCAGTAGCAGAAGTGTGGACCCACATGCAGGCCATTCAATGTCATTTAAATAGCCTATTCCATTTATACTACTCAAAAGTGCTAATATGCCCCAACATGTTTGGATAAAATGATGTGCCAAACCAGCATCCATCAAATCAGACCTGTCTGAACTGTGTGTTGAGCAAACATATCATTTAGTTAGTGGCGCGAATAATTATTATCCAAATAATTATTTTTCACACTGTGCTTATGAGAAAAATAGATGAGCTCCACTGCTTGTTTTTCTTTCTGCTGTAAAAAACATTGCCTGGATTCTCCAAAAAGAAATACTCATAGCCTGGAGGTTCATGTCACGGTAACACCACAGGGACACACTCAATGACTAACAACACACTGCATGGCTGTGTCTAGCAGGTTGTGTTATTCATTAGCATGAGATGCACTGGAACAGAACTACTATCACTAAAGTCTGGATTCAGCCTGTTACAGTTACAGTTATTACTGACAGTCTGTAAAAACTACACACACTGAAGATTCATACTGGATTAAAATCACTCCACAGTTATTACTACCAGATGGTAAAAGCTACACACACTGCAGATTCATACTGGATTAAAATCACTCCACAATTATTACTGTCAGACTGTAAAAACTACACACGCTGCAGATTCATACTGGATTAAAATCACTCCACAATTATTACTGTCACACTGTAAAAACTACACACACTGCAGATTCATACTGGATTAAAATCACTCCACAATTATTACTGTCAGACTGTAAAAACTACACACACTGCAGATTCATACTGGATTAAAATCACTCCACAATTATTACTACCAGATGGTAAAAGCTACACACACTGCAGATTCATACTGGATTAAAATCACGCTGCACAATTATTACTGTCAGACTGTAAAAACTACACACACTGCAGATTCATACTGGATTAAAATCACTCCACAGTTATTACTACCAGATGTTAAAAGCTACACACACTGCAGATTCATACTGGATTAAAATCGCTCCACAATTATTACTGTCAGACTGTAAAAACTACACACACTGCAGATTCATACTGGATTAAAATCACTCCACAATTATTACTGTCAGACTGTAAAAACTACACACACTGCAGATTCATACTGGATTAAAATCACTCCACAATTATTACTGTCAGACTGTAAAACTACACACACTGCAGATTCATACTGGATTAAAATCGCTCCACAATTATTACCGTCAGACTGTAAAAACTACACACACTGCAGATTCATCCTGGATTTAAATCGCTCCACAATTATTACTGTCAGACTGTAAAAACTACACACACTGCAGATTCATACTGGATTAAAATCACTCCACAATTATTACTGTCAGTGCTGTAAAAGCCATATACTGCAGATTTATAGTGAATTTTAAACAGGACCCTCAGTCAATAATCACTTAAATTACAGAACCGGAAAAAGGTAATCCAATTTAAATAGAGCTATATAAATATATGCGAATATGAAAGTGAGGAACATAAGTGTGGGCCCACCAATGGGTTCACAGAGTTAGTTGAAGGGGTTCAAAAAAACTTTGTTTGGGTAAAAGGATCCTGTGTATAAGTTTAAAAGTGCAGCTGTGAAAGTGACAAGTAAACCCATCCCCATTTGAAGCAGAGTGGGGGAGAAACAGAACCTGTTGAGGGTGAAGGATTAAGGAGCTGGAAGTTTAATCTGGCCCCAGAGCCAGTGGACAAAACAACCCCAGACACTGAAGCCTCACAGCACAAACTTAAGCCCACTCTGACAGCTGGACTTATTGTTGTAGTCTGCAGCCCTGCGCATGCATGGTTAAATGATTAGCCTGTTTTTTAGCAATAGGATCAGCTCCTCTGGTTCAAAAGGTGTTTATCTTCAAGAAAGCTGAAGTAGATTTTTAGAGGAGAAGGTTGTCTGAATACTCTTTATGAAACGGCTAGTTCCGCTTCTTAACTCTGATTGGCTGAGCAACATTCTTAAAATAAAATACTCGATATACACACATATGACCGCTTACACTCTTAAAAGATATGGTTCTTCAAGGGTTCTTTAGTAAAAAACACTTTGCATGATTAAAGGGTTCTTTGCATCATGAAAGTGTTCTTCAAATTGATGGAGAATGTGCTGTAGATGGTTCTATATAGAACCTTTTTGAAAAGGATTTCTATATAGCACCCGAAAGGGTTCTTCTATTGATACAAGCTTGAGATCGTAACAATAAAAGAACCCTATTTGGTGATATATAGAACCCTTTTCAAAAGGTTCTATATGGAACCATCTACAGCACAGTGTGAAGAACGCTTTCATGATGCAAAGAACCCTTTAGAGATGCAAAGGGTTTTTGAGTGTTCATGGTTCTATATAGAACCTTTTTCTTTAGTAAGAACCCTTGAAGAACCATCTTTCTTTAAGAGTGTACATCAGTTGACCTCAGTTGAAAGAGTATTAATGTAACACAGTATTAAAAATCATGGAGCTGTTCATTGAATAATCTTTGCTCGTCAATGACTGTAAGAGCTAGATCTTCAGTTTTGGGCTATAAATGTCAAAATGAGGTCAAAAACTAGAAAAAAAAACACCTCAATGATAATGCTAATTTCCTTAACATGGACACTTGAAGCTTGTAAAAGACATTCCATGTTTTTTTATTTATTTAAATATTTGCAACAGACATTAACATATATTTTACCTGTATATAGAAGTTTTACATTGACTCAGTAAAGAGCCCTGATTAGACTGGACTTCCATATGTCCTAGAGGGACATTTTTTTCTTACAAAAATGGTCTCGCCCTATTTATGCAGATTGAACAGTTTTTGGCTGGGCAGTTCAAGAATTTAACCCTTTTGTATCCAAAGCCTAACTGAAATGCGTAGTACTACAATACGTGCAGAGTTTAAACAGGGCAGGCATGATGACTAAATTAAATAAAAATTAACTAAAAGTTAAATGTGTATTTTCATTTTTTTCCAAAAAACT